GAGAGAGAGAGAGAGAGAGAGAGAGAGAGAGAGAGAGAGAGAGAGAGAGAGAGAGAGAGAGAGAGAGAGAGAGAGAGAGAGAGAGAGGTGGGCGTGGCTGTAACCCAATCTTTAATCCAGAGGGTGGAGCTGGGTTCTTGGCTGGTATTTCATATCATCGATGTTGGCACTATTTATAGCTCTCAGGCTGCTTCGGGGTTGGTTTCCATGTCTTTGCGATGTCATTGGCACTATCTGACCCTTAGCTCTCTATATGCTTGCTATGTATAGTACATGCTGTGCGTTCGTGCAACATTGGCATGCTGTCGTCATGTGGGTGCAACAGTAGACTGAGTCGCTGATAGCTGTATGATATGATGTCGAATAGTGTGGACTTTGGGCATAGGTGTATGGGCTACGCAGGAGTATGCGGCAAAATCCCTTTCACTGTTTATTATTAATTTATTACTTTTTGCTGCGTCAGAAATTCCCCTTTGTTCTCTTTGATATGAGTAGCTCCAACGTTCTTGTAAGTTGTAAGGATTTGAACTCCTGATCTGTTTATAAACAGTTCCATGTCTGCATCATTCAGCCATATTGCAGGTAGAAATTCGGATGCCCGAATCTTTTTTCGTTGACGTTGTTTGTAGTACATTAAAGTTTATACCATGTTGAAGGAGGGATTGATCTTCTCAACATTTTGGGATTGGTCGTGAGGGTTCGAACTCTTAACCTGTTGAACCGATGGGCCTAACCTTTTTTTTTTTTTTTTTTTTTTTTTTTTTTTTTAGGCCCTTGTGCAAGGCCACTATCCCGACCGCCTGGCCTGGCTCAGTTGACACACCCAATGAACTGTTGAAATACAGACCCGAGTTCGAGTCCAGATGCAATCAGATGAACAGAATCAAAGAATTCGGAATTACCTGACATTATCCCAAGGCCATTGCCCTTTTTTGTTTTTGTTTTGTTTTAACTCTTGCCCTGTTGAGTGATGAATCGTTTCAGGTCTTCTGTACTTGTACAGGTCAGCCATTCTTGCCTACTGTGCTTGTCCTCTTTCCCCCCAACTCTTCGTTTACACCACTGTGCAGCTAGCCCCCCCTTCCCTGCTATTCTACACCTCTTGAGGCTCTTGTGCTACTCTTCCCTGCCTCCCTTCTCCTCCTCCTCCTCCTCCTCCTCCTCTTCTTTGGACTGGCTTGTCTTCTTTTGCCTCCCTTGATTTTCCATGCATTCTGCTAATCTCCTTCCTTGCACTCTCTATCTCTCTGTCTCTCTCCTCCCCTCTCCTCGTCCTCTCTCTTCTTGCTCCTCTATTCTCTCCTTGGCCCCCACCTTTCTCTCATCTGCCCTTTCCCTTCTTTGGTTGTCTTTCCTTCCCTTGCCTTGCATGTCTTTTCAATTGCATTTCTGTGTTTGTTTTTTTGCATTTTGTGAATTTTTTTTAATGATTTCAGTAGCCATTTTGCAATTTTTGTTACTATCTTACTCATTTGCCCAATATCATGATGGTCCCCGCTTTCCTTCTCTGGCATGGTGTCAAACAGTGAAACTTGAATTCCATACCTTTTTTTTTTTTTTTTTTTTCATTTGCTTACCAAGTTGCCAATTTTGAATTTTGCCAATATTATGCTTTATATCTCTAGGCTACCAGAGTGGCCCGGGGTCACTTGTCCGGCCGGGCCAAAAAAAAATGAAAAAGTAAAAAATAAAAAAATTATTTTAAAATTTTAATTTTTATTGTCAATTTGGTGGAGAATTTCGATGTGTCCTGAGGCAAAAGTTGTTCAGTTTATTTTTCTGCATAACATAGTTTTTTTTTTCGGATGTGTTGGACTTTTTTTTTTTTTTTTTTTTTTTGCTGAGACCTTCCCTGGTCCTTGCACGGGCTGGCCAACCGGGACACTGGCGGCCCAGCTGGCAGCCTAGCTTTATATTATATTTTACTAAATAGTAAATACAAAATGAAGTAATTTTTAAATTCTTTTACTCATCATTTACATCTATTTACGATTGCGCCATTCCTTGACTGGCAAGCAAACATCAATAAGCGCGGAGCTTGCGCAGCGAATCGCTTCAGGGGTCGTGGATCCAATCACTCACATGACGTTTGATAGCGAGGTGAGATTTTTTTAATTAATTTATTTATTTTCCTGTTTGTAACCTTGTATTTGTACTCAGTAATTTCTTCTACCTCCTCCTCCATCCCTCTCAGATGACCCACACTTACGGAGGTTGTACCTACGGGGCAGAATGCGGTCAGATACATCCCTTGCTGCCATTACCTGGCGGCACTTTCCGGCACATTCTTGTTGTGATTTTTGACTTTGTAGTAAGTTCGTACTTAAAACGTTTTTCCGTATCCACTCACCTCCCTTACATAATCCTCTCTGTTAAAGTTTCAGCATAGCCGCACCACAATGACTTCGTGGATCATTGGATGTATCTGACCGCAATTGCGGCAAAAAAAAAAACCAACTAATTTTTAAGTTTATTTTGTACTTCAATTTGGGTAAAAATAATTTCGATGTGACCCTGAGGCAAAATTTGTAGATTTTATTTTTCTCCATAACATAGTTTTTTTTTCGGATTTTTGTTTTCCTTTTTTTTTTTTGCTGGGACCTTCCCTTGTCCTTGCACGACCAGGGCCCCCAGGAAAACAAGGTGACCCCGCCTGCCCGGCTGGTAGGCTAGGTTTCAAGTTTCAACGTTGAAGTTGTGCAGTCTCTCCTGCCAGAAAACTGGGGAACTTTTTTTTTTCTTTTTTCCCCTCACACTGCGTTCTTCAAGTTTCCTCCTTTTATGTCTTTTCCAGTTTTTTTTCTCTTTTTTAAAGTTTTTAAAGTTTTTTTCTTTTTTATTTTTTTTTCCCTTTTGAATCCAGCTTCCATCAACGGTTGAAGTGCTGATGCTAGATACTGAACTTGTGAACTTTTGTTTTGAGTCCGATAGGTGTTTGAACTTTGAAAATTGTTTTCTCTTTTTTCTTTTCCCCGGTAAATTTTTGCTGCATGGCCGAACGTACAGGGACAGACCATTGGCCAGGTACACGCACGGCATGTGTTCACATGCAGATTCATTGTGACACAGGTTTTCACTTGTAAGTTGCTCAAAATAATTGTCTTGGAATCGTTTTCTCTCTGTGAAGGACAATCGACCGGCAGCAGAGAAGGCTTCACCGGAGAGTGGTGAGATAAGTCCACCAACAGCTGCACCACAAGGTGCCAGTTTTGCGGGAGTGAAACGGAAAAGAGAGCGAGAGAGTCCAGCTTTGCCGGCTCAGAAAAACATTATCACCAAGTACTTCAGTATCCAATCAATCTCTTCTGGGACCGTCGCTCTTCAATGCAGAATCAACGACAATTGTCAATTTATCACCCTTTGTTGATGATGTCTCGGAGGGCCTGGTTGGCATGAGAGTTTTTTTTTTTTTTTTTTTTTTTTTTGAAGGACCATTTCATCGGTATATGTGTGTCATCCGTGTGCAGGGGCCATGCCAATCTTGTCTCTCTGTATCGTTCCAATTTTAACGGATCTCCCGAAGATGATGCAATCAACATTTCTACCGACATTCTCCTGATTGGATTTTCCTTTTCACTACTGCAGACTTCCGCGGTTGACGTGGTGCAACCAAAACTGCAATGCTCAGTGGTAGATTGGTGTGAGTGTGTGTGTGTCTGTGTGTGTATGTGTGTGTGTGTGTGTGTGTGTGTGTGTGTGTGTGTGTGTGTGTGTGTGTGTGTGTGTGTTGTCATGTTCT